GACAGAGTCTTACTCTGTCGCCTACTCTGGAATGCAGTGGTGTGATCTTGGCTCACTGCAACCTCCTCCTCCCAGATTCAAGCGATTCTCCTGCCTCAGCCTCCCGAGTAGCTGGGATTACAGGCGTACACCACCACGCCCGGCTAATTTTTTTCGTACTTTTAGTAGAGACGGGGTTTCGCCATGTTGGCCAGGCTGGTCTTGAACTCCTGCACTCAGGCGATCTGCCTGCCTCAGCCTCCCAGAGTGCTGGGATTACATGCGTGAGCCACCATGCCCGGCCTGAGATACTTAGTGATAAATGGATTCCTCTATTTCCTACAATTTCTGGTTTGATCTTGGTCTATATGTGAAAATAAACTGGAGGATATGTTGGAGAATCCAGATTGTCACATTTTATACATAACTTCTAACTAAAAGAAGAAAGAAAAGCCTAGATCCTAGCTTCGTATTTCTCACCCAGCTCCTGCAGTGGGGAAGACCTCTTCAGTGCATAAGGTGTCAGAGTCCACTCTATTAAGTAAATCTTTGAGAGCTACTAGGGCTTCAGCATCCACCAAGCCACCTGCAATTGCTGCCACATCTTTGCCTTGAAAACTCTGCAACTAGAAACAGATGAAAGGGCATCATCAAGAAACCTACATGCAGCAAAGACCACAGTGAAATGTTCAGAAAATAAAATGGTAATTGTTTTCAAGTATAGAAAAAATTAACAGACTTCTGATTAAAAAGGTTTACAACACGGCCAGACACGGTGGCTCATGCCTGTAATCCCAGCACTTTGGGAGGCTGAAATGGGGGGATCACCTGCAGTTAGGAGTTCGAGACCAGCCTGGCCAACATGGTAAAACCCCGTCTCTACCAATAATACAAAAATTAGCTAGGCGTGGTGGCATATGCCTGTATTCCCAGCTACTCTGGAGGCTGAGGCAGGAGAACTGCTTGAACCACGGAGGCAGAGGCTGCAGTGACCAAGATTGAGATCACGCCACTGCACTTCAGCCTGGGCGACAACAGTGAAACTCCACCACAAAAAAACAAAAGAAGTTGTACAACAATTATTAATTAATCTAAAGTGAAAAGCTGCAGAGGTGTCATGTGGGGCCACAGCTAATAACATCAGCTTGGAACGAAGCTGTTTTATACTTAGGAACAAAGGCACCTCAAAATGAGGTCTGAAGTGGAACTATAGTTACCTTAAACGCAACCTCCTCTGAAGTATCTGCCTTTCCCTCTAGTGCTTTATGTTGTCTTTCTCTAACAAGAAAACTATTCCCTCCACTCATACTCTGGCAAGCTCATATTAATTCTCAGATTCTTTAAGAATCACCTTCTGTAGGAAGGCATCTTTTTTTTTTTTTTTTTTTTTTGAGATGGAGTCTCGCTGTGTCACTCAGACTGGAGTGCAGTGGTGCGGTCTCGGCTCACTGCAACCTCCAAGGAAGTCATCTTGATTTGCCTGTCCTAGTTAGGCATTCCTCCTACATGCTCTCACTCATACTACTCCCTATATAATTACTCATAGCTGCATATAATAATTGCTGAATTGTGCAACTTTCTCCAGTACAAGATTGTAGGATGCAGGAATGACATGTCTGTGGTCTTTATATCCCTTAATCTAGCATAATATCTAGCATATGTCCTCAACAGATGTCTGTAAAATGGAAGATTAAATCATAATCTTGGCAAAAGGAAAAAAGGGAAGAAACATACATCCCCCCTCTTCATGGCAAAGATGTTTCTTGATAATCACAAACACTATTTAACACTATTTATTTCAATTTTTACCATTCCAGCTACACGAGAGAGTGCATCCTCCCAAGAAGTATAGGTTAAAAGCCCTTTTTCATTTCTGATCATCGGCTCGGTAAGTCTTTGACGTTTTAGCCCATCATAGGCAAATCTAGAAAACAGAAATTACATGATTGTGGAATCTTGCTAAAGAAGTAACTATAATTTTCAAGTTAAATCAACGAGAAATGTTATTTAAATATAGTACTGGTTAAAGTGTCAAATATCTAAACACCTAGATAGAAGTAATTATTTTAGATATTTTTATAGATGAACTAATAGATTTTAAGAACTTCACCTAAAACTAAAATACCATCTGAAAGTTTGATTTCTTCCCTTAAATACATACAAAAAAAGTTTGGTTTCTTATACTTTTAGCTAACTGAACAATCTTAAAATTACAACACAAAAAAATCTGACAGCTAAAAAAGACAAATCATTTTTGTTTACAAAACATGAGTATCTCTAAATATTTTGTCAAAATTACATTGTGCAAACTCTTATATTTAGCTTCTTTCTCAAGCAATCATCCCGCCTTGGCCTCCCAAAGTGCTGGGATTACAGGTGTGAGTCACCACGCCCAGCCTAGCTTCTTTTCTCTAAGGAATAAACTGAAATAAGTTGAGAATGTATCGATCTACCTCAATTTCTCCATGTGGGATGGAAAAATATCTTTCTCAAAGTAAACACAATATCCAGGGATTGACCTAGGACTATTAAAGTCAGTATTATGTTATATAAGCAGCTCAGATTCCAGTAGTCTATATTCAGTAACTAATTTGCAAATATAAAAGATAATTCTTTAAAATTATCATAAAATTTCCTTTAAATAAACTGCAAAAGTTAAGGAAAACAATATAGCATATACCTGGTTTTATCAGAGATCCACTCTTCATTGATGTCCTCATGCATACGTGGCAAAATCCTCATCACTTCTCCAGTTCTTGTGCTAACCACAATATTACTTCCAACTGCATCCATTACATCAATGGATTCTGTCTTTCTGAGAAACACATATGGTGTTTACTATGGTGCTTTTGAGAATAAAGAAAGTTTCTGTTACCTGGTTTACCAAAAACAGATTTTTACAACTAATTCCCTTTCTGAATTACTTTAAAAAATGAAGCTCAGAGGAATTGCAATTAAATAAAAGAACCCCCCACACTTTTTTTTTGCCATGGGGTCTCACTCTGTTGCCCAGGCTAGAGTGGCATGATCACTGCAGCCTAGAACTCCTGGGCTCAAACTATCCTCTCACCACATTTTAAAAATTTTTTGTAGAGGCACTGTCTCATTATGTTGACCAGGCTGGTCTTGAACTCCTGGTCTCAAGCAATCCTCCACCATGGCCTCCTAAAATGCTGGAATTATAGGCGTGAGCCACTGCTCCTGGCACACCCATATTTGAACACGTAAATTCCTGGCACAGTAAGGAAGGCTTTAAAACTATTATCTGACACAGAAGCTAGTTTGAAGGGGCTCCAACTAGCCAAATCTGGGACGATTCAAAAAGAGGGGCAGGATTTCTGTCTATGGGAGGTTAAGGAGCTCAAAAAACCTTCCCACTGAAAAGCAAAAGTAAAGCTGGACAAAAATGGCAAAACCCACCATTTCAGCAGTTTAGAAATGTAAATGCATACAAGAATGTGTTAAGCTTTTATGCACTGAAAAACTGGTGGCTGGGCTCGGTGCTGCTCCTATGCTCCTCTCTACCCCCTCAAAATGGAATTTCTTCCAGGCTGGGGCAGGCTGTGAAGACGAGAACTTCTTTGGTACAGATGGAGACAACTCACTTAATTTGGAGCAACAGGCAAACTTGTCTGTGGAGGTGAAGCTTTGGAGGTCATTGTAGCTGAGGATAGCCAAGATTTTACTAGCCTAAGTTTGTAGTGGTAATTGCGGCCAGCATTCCTAGCAGCGGCTGCCACATGTGCAGGTGAAACCAGAGACGGCTCAATCTATTCACAAACTCCTGGATAACACTGAGACCCATAGGGCCCAGTGCAAAGTAATAGCTGGGCAGACTTGAAAACAGCCTGAACTTTGAATATGCTCCTCCATCCACATACAGATTCACTGGCAAAGAACTAACTCGTATTAGGTCGAGGTGTCTGAAGTATAATTATACCTGATTACTAAACTATGCAGACACAGGGGAACTCCTAAGAAGCCTCACTTTTTTTTTTTTTTGAGACGGAGTCTCGCTCTGTGACCCAGGCTGGAGTGCAGTGGCCGGATCTCAGCTCACTGCAAGCTCCGCTTCCCAGGTTCACGCCGTTCTCCTGCCTCAGCCTCCCGAGTAGCTGGGACTACAGGCGCCCGCTACCTCGCCAGGCTAGTTCTTTGTATTTTTTAATAGAGACAGGGTTTCACCATGTTAGCCAGGATGGTCTCAATCTCATGACCTCGTGATCCACCCGTTTCGGCCTCCCAAAGTGCTGGGATTACAGGCTTGAGCCACCGCGCCCGGCCCCCAGAAGCCTCACTTAAAAATAAAACCAAGAATATTAAAATACGTTCAAAGAACCAAAGAAAATAATGTTTAAAAACTGGAAGGGATGTATGACAACCACGAATTAGCAAGTAGAGATTCTCAGTAAGGACACAGAAATTATATGGAAACAAAAACCCAAATCCCAAAGTTGAAAAACATAAAGTTTAAAATTGAAAGATAATTTGTTATGCTTTAAGAACCTTAAAAATATTCACACCTCTTGCATCTATCTACTCCATTTCTCGGTTTAATCAGGAGAATGAGAGATATACACAGAAATTTATAAACAGCAATTTTTTTACAGATTTGTCATCATAAAGAAATATACAAGCTAAATGTCTATTAGCAGAAACTGGTTAAAGAACATGACATTCCTCATAGTTGAAAACTTAATAAACAACAACATGGGAGACTATAAATTTAAAATATCAACACTATTAAACTCCTTGGAAGAACACATAAAAAAATAATTTTGTGGTTGAGTACTTTAGAATTAATTTCCAAGAAAACTACAGTTAATTTGCACAGGTTCGATCCATTCTAACTACTTACCTTCTACTTAAAGGGTTTTACTTAAACAAAAAGTCAACAGACCAAAACAACTGAAACTCAGGAAGAAAATGAACCTTTTGAATAGCAATGAATTAAGGACAAAAAACAAATTGTCATAAAATACAAAGATACCTTGTTTCCCAAGGCCGGGCAGTAAAGGCATAGGGCTTAGAGGTTAGGGCACCTACAGGGCAGATATCAATGATATTCCCAGACAGTTCAGACATGAACATCTTTTCAATGTATGTGCCAACTTGCATATCATTTCCTCTGCCTGTTGTTCCCAAATCATCTACTCCTGCAATCTCACTTGCAAACCTACAAGATAAAAAATGTGCCATCAATGGTTAAGTCCAGCCAAATTATTTCCTTAAAGAGATGATTTCCAAAACACTAAAAAGAAATGAGTATATTTTCAAAGGTGAGCACAGTCCTAGAATAAAAAATAATGAAATGTTTACATTTAATTGAGGTGTAACTCACATGCAGAAACTTGTACAAATCATATGTGTACAACTCAGCAAGTTATGAGTGAAAGCAAATGCTTATATATTTTAATTTTTAAATCCACCTGAAGTTGGTACTAAATGAAAGTGAACTTATTTTATTGGTATATCAAATACAGCATCCCTCTTCTCCCACCCAACAAAAGTAGCCATTCTTTCCAATGTTATTATTCATCAAATTATGACTATTAAGTATACAATTACATTCTATAATAGAAGAAAAAAGGAAAAAAAGGTACCTGATGCAGCGAGTACACTGTATACATCTTGTCATGATGGTCTTTACCAATGGCCCAATGTTCTTGTCTTCCACAGCACGCTTCCCCTCTAAAAATCGGCTCCTATCATTTCCAAACATCATGGACTGGTCCTTAAGTAGATTATTAAAGAGTCAATCGAATGCTGCTAGTAAAATTAAAATCTGAGACAACCAAAAAGATTGACAGAATTCTACTACATACCTGCAGATCACATTCACCTCCCTGGTCACAAATAGGACAGTCCAGTGGGTGATTTGCTAATAAGAACTCCATCACACCTTCCCTGTATGAAAGTTGTAACATATAAAATGACTCTCAAATATACACACACAGACATAAACTGCTGTCACTCAAAATGACCTACAGACTTTACTTTTTTTTGAGATGGTGTCTCCCTCTGTTGCTCAAGCTGGAGTGCAATAGCACGATCTTGGCTCACTGCAGCCTCCAGTCTCTGCCTCTCGGGTTTAAGTGATTCTCTTGCCTCAGTCTCCCAAGTATCTAGGATTACAGGTGCCCACCAACCCACCTGGCTAATTTTTGAATTTTCTATAGAGGCAGGGTTTCATCATGTTGGTCAGGCTAGTCTCGAACTTCTGACCTCAAGTGATCCTCCCGCCCTGGCATCCCAAAGTGCTAGAATTACAGGCGTGAGCCACTTTGCCAGGCCCACCTATAGGCCATTTAAACAACCTACCTAGATGTATTTTTTTTTTATACAATTAATAGTAATTTTACATTTAGTATCAGAAATGCCAACTATCTATCATTCTGGTAATATTTTTTTAAGAGACGGGGTCTTGCTATGTTGCCCAGGCTGGCCTTGAGCTTCTGGGCTCAAGTGATCCTCCTGAGTATCATTCTGGTAGTATTAAACACACAATCTGGCAAATGCTTAGAGGAGCCTAGAATAAAGTATAATTAGAGAACACAGAAAATTATGATTTTTGGTCAGGTTTGGTAGCTCACGTCTGTAATCCCAGCACTACGGGAGGGAGGTTGAGGCAGGATGATCACTTAAGGCCAGGAGTTCGAGACCAGCCTGGACAATATAGTGAGACCTTGTTGCAAAAAATAAAGAAAATTGTAACTTTTAACAACACCGAATGATCAAAAGTTGCTGAATGGTCCTCAGAAAATATTCACATTAATTCAAAACAAAACCAAACACAAGCAGTCCCGGTACAATATAGCAATAGCTTAGTAAGTCCAGATTAACCCTCCATCATAAGTTGAGCAAGTTACTAAACAGGGATTTTTAATGCTGATCCTAAGGCTCAATACCATAAACTCCTGACTGGACCTCCTCTACTATGTAGTACTCGCTTCTACTGCTCCTAGAAGCTGAGCACACCAACTTCTTCAGAGTTTGATATTAAATTCTTAATCTATGGGAAGGTCCAAATACCAAAATGTGTAACTTTCTGCTTTATGAAAGGGTACTACGTTGAATAACAATAAAGTACCTGGCTTTCCTGGATTTTTCTGAGTTTGTTAGGATATTCCAGCCCTTCATTACTGGCATGGCACAAGCAGCTACAACCTGGGATTTCAATGAAAAAAAAAAAGTGTGTATTTGTATTTATTTGTAATTATAAGCAACTCAATATATAAAAATGTTAAATTATATAAACATTAAATTATATATTTGATAACAGGCAAAGAACAAGGTATTTTTTAAAACTGAATTTTTATTCATAATACTATGACCTGGTACTTTGCATTTATCCCAGAAATAAAACATCCTGGTTTTTAAGTTTATTCTAATAGTCAATGCAATTTTTTATTCCACTCTGAAACAGAACACCAAAAAACTGCTTTGACTAGCAGACACTATTGAATAAAAAAATTGCATACACCGGCCGGGTGTGGTGGCTCAAGCCTGCAATCTCAGCACTTTGGGAGGCCGAGACGGGCGGATCACGAGGTCAGGAGATCAAGACCACCCTGGCTAACACGGTGAAACCCCGTTTCTACTAAAAATACAAAAAAACTAGCCGGGCGAGGTGGCGGGCGCCTGTAGTCCCAGCTACTCAGGAGGCTGAGGCAGGAGAATGGCGTAAACCCAGGAGGCAGAGCTTGCAGTGAGCTGAGATCCGGCCACTGCACTCCAGCCTGGGCAACAGAGCAAGATTCCGTCTCAAGAAAAAAAAAAAAATTGCATACACCAAAATGAAATTAAACTACTGAAAGTGAACTTCTTCCCTGCAACCCTTTTCTCTACTAAAAATCGCAGGGCATCAGCACTTTTAATGTGCTACTTGGCAACTCTACATCCTGGTTTTATATTATACAGCCATCCGGAAATAATGACAGCTATAAATCACCTTTAATTTCTAGATATGTTACAATTATATGGCACATGTGTTTATAAAGCACTTCCATCTATGTGTTCCCAGTTTTGAAATGAAGAGAGTCAATTGTACAAAATAAATTTATAGATAGAAGTAAAGAGGGCTAGGTTCTCCACTACAATATTAATTCTAAATAAAGTTTGCTGCAAGATTGAAAGTTTTCTACCTTCTACAGCATGGTGTAGAATTTTAGGTATCAAGTACCTTGGGGGCTTTCTCAATTTCAACAAGGCACATCCTGCAGTTTCCAGCAACAGACAACCTTTCATGATAACAGAATCGAGGGATCTGCATGCCAACCTTCTCACAAGCCTAGAAGTAAAAAAAAAAAAAAAAAAAAAATACATGAGAATAACCTGACATCACTGCTGTTATTGCTGAAACACACACATACGGCATCTTATTACTACTATCTATAATAATCTTAATTCATTCTTATTTCAGTCCCTTTCTTTGCCTTTCATTCTAACCTGTCTCCTCTGAAGCTGCCTCAGAGGATCTCAGGATTCTTGGCATGACTTCACCTTATGTGGAAGAAACTGGATAAAGTATCCTTCCACTGTGCTGAAGACCTGACTTCCCATATCCGTTCTGAACCATTGTCCACAATGTCCCCTCAAACTCTGTCCCAGTGGTTTCATACCTGGACTTCTTCTTTGCCTAGCTCCCCTCCTTTGGATTAGAGATTTCACTACACACTATCTAGCTGGCTATCTGTCTTTGGCTCCTATATCTCATCCAGGACTCACCTCCCACTGGGCTGAAGGTTATATCTATGTTCAAATTTCCTCTAGAGTTAATTCCTCCATCCTCAGCCTTCGTTCTAAAACAATGTCATCAATTTCCAATGTTTAAACTGGTTAGCAAAAATGTGTTGAGTGTTTCCTTTGTGCAGGATGCAGGTACAGTAGTGAAAAAGACAGACAGTGTCCCAGCCTTCATCCTAGCTGACATTCCTTATGATGATTATGTCCAAACCTTCATCTGCAGCCGTGTTAGTTCTGCACTTCTCCAGGCTTCAGATTTACAGGACTTTGCATGTGTATGTTCCACAGACAGCTTAAATTCCAATGATTTCTCTCCGCTCTATACACTCCAAAATAACCTAACAAATGCAGAAAACCACAAAAATTCCTCTGGTCTCTTTGAATTCTAAAGAACTATCTGTCTCTGTGTCTCTACTGAAACTTTGTGGGGTTTTTTTCCTCACCGTTAAAGTAATATTGGGAAGTTCTGCACAACGGGGGAAAAAATTCCTCGGGTCTTCATCATTCCTGAAGGCCTGTCTCCATGTCATTCTCCCTTGAATCTACTCTCTTGCTTTCATTCTCATAGTCACTATCTATTTTAGGGCTTTTCATAGTATCCTGTCCCAATAATACAAAATGCTTTTTCCTTGTCTCTTATTCCAGTCTTGCTATTCTCCAAACGATCATCCTCTACAGTCACTGTCACCCTGCTTAAATAGGCAACAGAACTCCTGATGGATCAAAATATAAACTCTTCTGCACAGCAGATACTGTATTTCATCACTGAACCTTCCCTTCCTCAATAACTTGACTTCCTGTGATCTCATCTATTTAGACCTTATGTTTCATCAACATTAAACTATCTGAAGTTTTCAAAACATGACAAGTTATCTGCCTTAACTTTTACCATAGGAAATGCAAGCATGTCCTTCTTGTACACATATGAACACATCTATTCATCCTTTAATACTCCTCAGGGATGACCTGAGGCACCCAACATCTCTTTCTACTACCTCCTATCCCTGCCACAACTTTTTGCTGTACCTTGAACATACATTTATTATATATCATATTTTGTGCTTTCATGTCTGTGACTGGCAGACAGTCTAGAAATGACTGCTAAAATGAAAAACGGACATTTAGATCTGTGACAACTTACAAATGGAGTGAAGCATCACTTCTCTATAACCAATTTATTATTTCTGGAGGAATATGAAGAAATATTTAGAGCATGAATTTAAGCACATGCTACCCTCCGTTTACCTGCTTTGTAGGATATATTCCAATGAATATTACTAATCACAGAAAGGTTATATGAAAATGAAAAGCATCAAGCAGGCCCAAAACAAATGAAGGATATATTTTCACAAACTTACCTATAGTAACCAATTTAAGTTACTTCAAATTTCTTTTTTTTGAGAGAGAGTCTTGCTCTGTTGCCCAGGCTGGAGTGCAGTGGCACACTCTCAGCTCACTGTAACCTCCGCCTCCTGGGTTCAAGCGATTCTCCCGCCTCAGCCTCCCGAGTAGCTGGGATTACAGGTGCGCGCCATGATGCGCAACTAATTTTTTGTATTTTTAGTACAGACGGGATTTCACCATGCTGGCCAGGCTGGTCTAGAACTCCTGAATGATCCGCCTGCCTCAGTTTCCCAAAGTGCTAGGATTATAGCCATGAGCCACTGCGCTCAGCCTTCAAATTTCTTAATGGGTATTCATTTGGAATGTAGAAGTGAAACAAAAGAACTACCATAATTCACTAAAAATGTCACAGACAAATAAATGATAGTTCACTTTGAAGTGCCAAGATATAAAATGAAATAATTTTAATATAACTTTGCTATGTATAGTTATTTTAAGGAATTATTTGCTAATAATCAGTATAAAGGAAATAAATTAGTATATTTAAAAAAATCAGAACACACACACAAAATAGTTAGAATGTATGCCTACTTGGAGGACGGTCGTTCCCGGTTCCACCATGACAGACTGACCATCAACAAATACTTCAATCAAGTTGCTTGCTGCTGTGGCAGTTGTTCGAACTGACCATCAAAGATATTGAAGTGAAAAACAAATTAACAGTTTATTATAGCAGATGATAACAGATGAATTAACTCTAACTACAAACCTAAATTTTTCATTCCTTGTTATTCCTCTGTATTGCTCTGGATGCAAACTAATGGTTGTCTACTTTTGATAGTAGTTTAAACTGAAACTTCTTTCTTCTTTTTTTTGAGAGGGAGTCTCGCTCTGTCACCCAGGCTGGAGGGCAGTGGCACAATCTTGGCTCACTGCAACCTCCACCTCCCTGGTTCAACTGATTCTCCTGCCTCAGCCTCCCAAGTAGCTGGGATTACAGGCACTCACCACAATGCCTGCTAATTTTTGTATTTTTAGTAGAGACAGGGTTTCACCATATTGGCCAGGCTGGTCTCAAACTCCTGACGTCAAGTAATCCTCCTGCCTTGGCCTCCCAAAGTGCTGGGATTACAGGCATGAGCCACTGCACCCAACTTTAAACTGAAACTGTTAATGCCACTGAAAATATGTTCATGGGAAGATCACTTTTCAAAAACAATGTGATTTTTCCATTTTGGCACTGATGTGTGTAGTTCCTAATACTTTCTATTCCACGATAATTCCCATAAGCTGTTCAAAGTAAAATTATATTTTGAAAATTATTCAACTTAGATAATTTGTTTCTTTTTTTTTTTTTTTTGAGATGGAGTCTCCATCTGCCTCCCAGGCTGGAGTGCAGTGGCGCAATCTTGGCTCTATGCAACCTCCACCTCCCGGGTTTAAGCAATTCTTGAGCCTCAGCCTCAAGAGTAGCTGGGATTACAGGTGTGCGCCACCATGCCCAGCTGATTTTTATATTTTTACTAGAGATGGGGTTTCACCACGTTGGCCAGGCTGATTTTGAATTCCTGGCTTCAAGCAATCCACCTGCCTCCACCTCCCAAAATGCTGGGATTACAGGCATGAGCCACCACACCCAGCCTGTTGCTATTTTTATTTTTAAAAAGTATGGGTTTAGGTCTTTGATAAACTATTCCACAGACTTATAAATTTACAAAAATAAGGTCTAATATCCACAAATACAAATTTAAAAAACTACTCACCACATCCTTTAGGAGATTTAGAAAGGCCTACTAAGGCCTTTCTTACAGGTATCCTCAACATATTGCTAAAAATAAAACAAAGAATTATATTATTGTAGGGGAAAAAACAATCACCAACTGTTTGGTAATGTTTTATGGCTTTAAATTATTTCACATACATTATGTCATTGAATACTCATAGGTTCTGATATTTTCCCTCCAAGTCTGTAGATGAGAATTCTCTGTCTCAGAGACACTGACTTGTACAATGCCAAAGAACTAACCAGCAGCAGCTATTGTATACATTTGGACTTTCTAATTCTATGCAGAGAGCAGTTTTGCCATTTAAAAAAATTACATAGAAAGGATCAAACTTAAAGCACTACCACACAGTAAAATAAACTGCAAGACTAACCGCGAGCTTATCATTAATGGTTATGTAAAATAAAGTCATATTTTCTGCTTTCATTTCCTACCAATACCCATTCTATCATTTCATGTTCTAAGCATAGCTGTCTACTAAATGCTCATGAGATATTCTGAGATAGCTCACCAGCCCAAAAGCCTTTGAGGTGTCTTGATTGCTATTTTCTAGTACACTTATCTTACAGATCTCCAATTATGTGTTTATAAGCCCATTCTGCCCTCACTGCATTAATTCCTTGAATTTTTCTATCTTCGTACCTATCCACCAGGCTGGCACAGAGTAAGCTCTTAAACAATGGCTCTCACCTGAGGACATTTGCTCCCCAGGGAATATTTAGCAATGTCTGAACACACTGTAGTCACAAACCAGGGGAAGTTACTGACATCTAGTGGGTAGAGGACAGGGTGCCGGCTATTCTACAATGTACAGGACAGTCCCCACAATAAAGATAATCATCCAAAGTGTCAACAGTGCTGAAGTTGAGACACTGCTCTAAAAGGCTTGCTGAATTATTGAAATAAATGGGGGTGGATTATATAAACACCAAGACTTAAAGACACACAAACCAGAAAAGTTACCAAAATTTATTTTTTGTTTGTTTGTTTGTTTTTAAGATGGAGTCTCACCCTGTTGCCCAGACTGGAGTGCACTGGTGCGATCTTGGCTCACTGCAACCTCCACCGCCCAGGTTAAAGCAATTCTCCTGCCTCAGCCTCCAGAGTAGCTGAGACTACAGGCATGTACAACCACGCCAGGCTAATTTTTGTATTTTTATTACTTATTTATTTTATTTACTTATTTATTGAGATGGAGTTCTGCTCTGTTGCCCAGGCTGGAGTGCAGTGGTGCGATCTCAGCTCACTGCAACCTCCGCCTCCCAGGTTCAAGCGATTCTCCTGCCTTGGCCTCCTGAGTAGCTGGGACAGGTGTGTGCCACCATGCCAGGCTAATTTTCTGTATTTTTAGTAAAGACGGGGTTTCACCATGTTAACCATGATGGTCTCCATCTCCTGACCTCATGATCCGCCCGGTTCAGGCTCCCAAAGTGCTGGGATTACAGGCATGAGCCAACATGCCCAGTCTATTTATCCATTTTTGAGACGGAGTCTTGCTGTCACGCAGTCTCACTCTGTTACCCAGGAGTGCAGTCGCGTGATCTCGGCTCACTGCAACCTCCGCCTCCCAGGTTCAAGCGGATTCTCCTGTCTCAGCCTCCTGAGTAGCTGGGATTACACGTGCCTGCCACCACGCCCGGCTAATTTTTGTATTTTCAGTAGAGACGGGGTTTCGCCATGTTGGTCAGACTGGTCTCGAACTCCTGACCTCAGGTCATCCACCCGCGTCGACCTCCCAAAGTGCTGGGATTACAGGCGTGAGCCACCGCGCCCGTCTGACAATCAGTTTTAAAGTGCTCTTTCTTTGAGCTCTTTTTCTTTAGTAGCAGTACACACTGTGTATATATTTTTATTGTTCTACTTACTGAACTGTAGGTTAGTAATCAATTTTAGTACCTACCAGACTCTAAGCTCCTTGAGGACATTTAGACATTTCCCTTTTTTGAAGACCTAGCACAGTATCCTTATGAAAATAACCACCAAATAGTCTTATCACCAAGTTCTAGAACTAGAGTAGCATCTGTCCTACTAAAAACTACTGATGGCATAAATGTAAACCTAAACTTACTCCATTAGAGCACTGACAGATTTGAAATCAACAATTTTAAAACTTTAATACTTTCTTATCTCCAATACGATATAAAAATAGTACTCACTTTGGATAGGAAATCAACTAGAACTAGGCTGTTGACATCCAGCATCAAGGCATAGCCCAACGTCAGAAATACAGATTTGCAACACTTCGATATGTGCTTTGAACATTGATATACCAAGTAGCAATAGAAATAATTATATCTTTAGATGGAAAAATGTTAATGACTAAAATGTCATTTCTAAAAGTAGACTGGATACTTTTCCGTATAGGGACTATACTATTCCACGTTCTCCAACATGGATTCATCCATCTACTTCCTGCCTTCCAAGGTACCACCCTATCCCAATCCACCATCACTCCTTGCCTGGAGTATTTCAATATCTTCTTAACAGGTCACCAGGCTTCCACACTATTCCCACACAGCCCCTCCCCTCTTGCCACTGGCAGTGACCTCGGACTGAAATGTTCTTCCCTGGCCCCTCCTTATCCTTCAAATCTTGGCTTCGAAGCCTTTTCTCAGTTTCATTGACCAGCCTAACATTTCCTGACGATTCCCCAGAATATCACCCATTTTATTCTTCTTTATGGACTCATTTCTGGCTCGTAGTAAACGTTCAGTAACTGTTAAGTGAACTGAATCTCTAATTTCTGCTCGTTAATTTGTAGGGACCACTTTCCCGGATTTAAAAAGTGCAGGTGCTCTGGCAGCGTTAAGTCGGTGAAAACAAGAATATTCCGCAAAACAAAAATAACCTGTTTATTCATCAAAAAGTTACTGTTACACTTCTATACTGTCAATTCGTGTGTGAAGTTGTGTCTGATCCAAGACCTCACAGTACAAGCATAGATCCCAATAACTTGTAAACAATATTTTGTTATTCGCAATGCAACCCTGAGCTAACTTTTCAAAAAGTCATTTTTCTCAATTTCCCGTTAGTGAAAGGAATTAAAAAATTCTGTCCAACGTGGTCAATGGACAAAACAAATAAGGACAACAGAAGCGTGAGCCACTGCTAACACAACAGCGACCAAACAATCATGTACTGTACCAGGCGTGTAAAAATCTGGGGGGAAAGGCTCAGTCTTAAGGCTTAAGTCATCGGACACTGGTCCTCTCCCGGGGAATAAAACGGCCTCCTCTGAGAGGAGAATGTCCTGAATTTTCCCTGCAGAGGGAAGGTCACCTACAAGCCCGCATTCGGGCCAGCGCTCCCGAGGGCCCCCTGATCCTCATCTTCCTTTCTGCTCCATCAGACCAGAGACCGTGGCTAAAAGCCCCCACTTGCTGGCTCTCAGGGGCTTCCGAGGCGGCGGGGCGGGAGGCGGCTCCCAGTCAAGGACAAGAGAAGACTAAGTCGCGTGGGCCAAAGGAAACAGTCCCGTCAATAAATAAGCCTCTGACCCATGCACCTCACCCTTCCCATCCATACAAGACCTCACCTTCTCCCCGGAGCCGCGGAGGCTGTTCTGCTAAACTGTCTGGACCACAACTACCCCCTTGGAGGCCGGGTCGCTTACTCAATATGGCGGCCTCAGCTAACTCTGTCAGCCGGGCCTGGAGAACGGAAAGCCCGGAGGGACTAGAATCCTTGCATTCGATAAGTGTGTCGGCAATTTCCGTCAGCCGACCAGAGGGCGGAGCTGAGGTCGGCCCAGCCCGGAGGCGGGAAGGACAACTTGGACCCGCAGTTCCGCCGGAAGTGGCCGGCAGCCTCGAGGCCGAGCGTCTTCGGTCATCTCCGGCGCTTCTAGGGGCGGTTCCCGTCATCTTCGGGAGCCGTGGAGGTACGAACTTAAGACATGCCCATTTTATTAATTTATTTCCAAACGCAACGAAAGGTCCAGGGACAATTTGTGAGCCGTTTAATTCAGGGCCCCCAATTCGTACGTGGAGAAGTGGGAATGCTAACGTACTTTGACCTTTAACCTTCGGTCCGGCGTGGTGGAGGGAAACGCCTCCGTCTCTATATAAGGAATTTTCCGGCTTCTCCGGGCCCTTTTTCCTCTCTTAAGCGCGGGGCGCCCACAACTTGTGCGCTCTCTTTCTGCTGCTTCCCAGCTCTCGGATACAGCCGACACCATGGGTTTCGGAGACCTGAAAAGCCCCGCCGGCCTCCAGGTGCTCAACGATTACCTGGCGGACAAGAGTTACATCGAGGGGTGAGCGGACCGGCAGTGTCGGGGTGGTGGGGAGGTTTCTGGGACCGGGGCCGGGGCCACGTGGCGCAGCGTGTCGGCTGCCGCTGGAGGGAGGGAGACCGGGCCCCAGGGCCCTTTCGAGGATGACGGGAAAGCGCCCCGTGGCCATCTCCCAAGGCCCTCGTGTGGTGCGAGCCCGGCCTCCGGGGAGCGGCTCACGAGCAAAGGAAGGTTAAAATGTGCTTTATTTACACTTAATTCAGCCAGGTGTTTCCTCATCGCTGCCCAGTTAATACATGTTAGGTTGTAGATAGAGCAACGTTAGAGATTGCAGTATTTGAGGTCTACTAAGTGGCAGACATTTCTCAGGATAGCGCGGTGACCCAAACATATGGTTTGATTTTAAGGAGATAAGAAGAAAAGAAAAGCATTAAAGCAACCCTACCGGAGTTAGTGCCCACTAATTAATGTGATGCATAGGCACTGATTATTTATTCGCTGGCGTTTGTTTTTCAAAGGTGTGTGTGAATGTCTCTGTGTCATTGGCAGGTATGTGCCATCACAAGCAGATGTGGCAGTATTTGAAGCCGTGTCCGGGCCACCGCCTGCTGACTTGTGTCATGCCCTACGTTGGTATAATCACATCAAGTCCTACGAAAAGGAAAAGGCCAGGTAAAATCATCTTTGTATCTAGCTGAAGAATAAGACTACTCTCGAAGCTTTATCAGGATGTTCACATGACAAAACTAGACCCAGGCTACTTTAGTTTTGTTGGGGTATTGTAAGCTAAATTTTTCTGTAACCTGAGAAGGCCAAGAGACTGAAGCCCTCCATTTTTTCACAGAACAGGTAGAACATGGACAGCAGCAATTCAACTTTTCCCCACACTGCCCTGCCAATGTGCCTCGACCTTGACCTGGGGGGCCCACCTCTGGGGTGAGAGGGTGGCTCATTCATTCAGTCCTTGGCCATTCTTCTGAAACTGCCAACAAGGGTGGAAGTTTGGGGAAGTGGACTCCAGTTCACTAAGAATGGAACTGAGCATACTTAATGAAATCTCAAACAGAAATGTTCATACTGAAAGAGTAAATCATAGTGAGTATTGAAAATAATGTCTCACATGGTACTAATGCTTGTCGGGTGAGGAGTTGAACATATGATAGTGTTTACCTGGGAGCATGTGAAAGGGTAAATTATTATTGCAAAAGGGATCTAGTGATAAGTAGTGATTAAAACAAGTTATTTTGTATTGTCTGGAAAAGTATGTTATACTAGCTCAATAGTGGTTGAATTTAAATGTTTTTCAAGCCTGCCAGGAGTGAAGAAAGCTTTGGGCAAGTATGGTCCTGCTGATGTGGAAGACACTACAGGAAGTGGAGCTACAGATAGTAAAGATGATGATGATATTGATCTCTTTGGATCTGATGATGAGGAGGTATGGCATCTTCTATAAAGAATATATCGGCCAGACACGGTGGCTCACGCCTGTAATCCCAGCATGTTGGGAGGCTGAGGCGGGTGGATCACGAGGTCGGGAGTTCAAGACCAGCCTGACCAAGATGGTGAAACCCTGTCTGTTCTAAAAATTTAAAAAAATGTGGCGGGTGTCTGTAATCCCAGCTACTCAGGAGGCTAAGGCAGAGAATTGCTTGAACCTGGGAGGTGGAGGTTGCAGTAAGCCGAGATCATGCCACTGCACTCCAGCCTGGGTGACAGAGCAAGACTCCGTCTCAAAAAACAAAAAAGAATACATCGATCAGCAATTTTATCAATGTGGTTAAGCCAAATTGCCTGGATTTGAATCCTGGCTTTAACTTATATGCCTTTTTCAAATTCTGACTGGTTGCATGATGAATAAAATCAAATCACCATCTTTCGGCTGAGTTCGTGATGGATTTGCTTTTTTCTGATTAAGCCAGTCTTTTTTGTGATGACCCCACTAGCTTTAAGCAGAGGACAACCGGCTTTTTGAAGTGGATTAATTTTTTTTCTTTACAGGAAAGTGAAGAAGCAAAGAGGCTAAGAGAAGAACGTCTTGCACAATATGAATCAAAGAAAGCCAAAAGTAGGTCATTTGTTTTTAACTTCATTTCATGATAATGTAAGTAATCTTTTTCAAAGCTTGACCTTTAAGTAATTTCCTCCACATTCCTTGAACAGGTCAATATTTTAAAACCTCCTGTAGAAGTTCTTCCACAGCTACTGGTCTGCAGCTGTTCTTATGGTAGCAGTTGTGGCATTCCTCTGTGGGAAAGAAACTGTTAACACAAACACCTCTTTCTTAGCAAAACAGAAAGTGGGCATATGTGTGACAGACACAAGATGTATCTGTAGTTTTGTTTGGCTAAGGAGATAGTCAATTTCAAAACAAATTGAGGTGATTTGTTTGTGTCTTGGAGTAGGGTAAAAAAAATACAGTTCATTATTTGAATAATGCTGTTTATTTTTTTAGAACCTGCACTTGTTGCCAAGTCTTCCATCTTACTAGATGTGAAACCTTGGGATGATGAGACAGATATGGCAAAATTAGAGGAGTGCGTCAGAAGCATTCAAGCAGACGGCTTAGTCTGGGGCTCATGTGAGTTTAGGCTTTGCCTTTTTTTTTTTTTTTTTGAAACTGACATCTGGAATTTGTATACAGCTTCAACCTTCCTCTACAAGACTTTTCTAACTAAGATTTTTCTTAATGCTCTTTTTAGCTAAACTAGTTCCAGTGGGATACGGCATTAAGAAACTTCAAATACAGTGTGTAGTTGAAGATGATAAAGTTGGAACAGATATGCTGGAGGAGCAGATCACTGCTTTTGAGGACTATGTGCAGTCCATGGATGTGGCTGCTTTCAACAAGATCTAAAATCCATCCTGGATCATGGCATTTAAATAAAAGCTTGAAAGATTACCTTTGGCTCTTGAGTATGTTACATAGGAGGGTGGTGTATATATTCCTTTCATTTTGAGGGAAGGAATTAAATGAATATGTGATTCCTAAATAATAAAAATTTGGTTCGGCTTTGTTGTTAGAAAATTGTAGTGCAGGCCAGGTGTGGTGGTTCATGCCTGTAATCCCAGCAATTTGGGAGGCTGAAGTGGGTGGATCGATACCAGAAGGCTAATACCAGCCTGGGCAATGGGGAGAGATCCTGCCCCTACAAAAAAATACAAAAATTAGCTGGGCTTGGTGGTGCACCCCTGTATTCCCAGCTATTTGGCAGATTGAGGTGGGAGGATTGCTTGAGCCCAGGAGGTTGGAACTGCAGTGAGCCAAGGTTGTGCGACTGCACTGCAGCCTGGGTGGAGCAAGGTCCAAAGACCAAAAGAACCAAAAGGCTCTTTTGACAGCAAGGTCCTGTCAAAAGAAAAAAAACTGTAGTGCAGCTTTACCCATTTGTGATGTCCTTAGCAATGCCTGATGATGTGATTTGTTGTAACCTGTCATCTTTGCATTGGGAACTTGAAGATGTGAGATGTGTGACGCTACTAGAAAACACCTAACCCAGAGGAGGGAGGGCTTCCCAGAATTTGGCATGAATTATAACTACTTAACAGGTTACAAATTTAAAATGATGACTCATGTTGTAAATAAACCATCTTTTATGTGTTGGGAATGTGATTTGGAGTATAGCACTGTGTCCTGGGAGGAGGATTATAAAGGTAACTGCTTCCCAGGCTTCCCAGGAAAACTTGACTTTGCTGTGAAGATTTATAGGTGCTGGGTTGTGGAGGTGGAATATTTTACTTGGATTTGGAAATCTGATTGGTCCTCATGCAGCAGGTAAATACTGGGATGAGGGTAGTATGTTGAGTAAAGTGATAGTCAAGTATTGGAAATAGCTTCATCTTGACAGGGAATTTCAGGTCTGGCTAACATTTGATAGTTTTTTTGTTTGTTTGTTTTTTGTTTTTTTAATAGTAGTTTTACAAAAGCAGTGCTTGGGAATTGCTGATCTCAAATGATCAAAAAATTTTAGGTCAATTTTTTTTTTTTTTTTTGGGGGGACCGAAGTCTCGCCCTGTCGCCCGGGCTGGAGTGCAGTGGCACAATCTTGGCTCACTGCAACCTCCGCCTCCCAGGTTCAAGCAATTCTCCTGCCTCAGCCCGCTGAGTAGCTGGAATTACAGGCATATGCCACCACGCCCGGCTAATTTTTATATTTTTATTAGAGATGGGGTTTCACCATTTTGGTCAGGCTGGTCTCGAACTCCTGACCTCAGGTGATCCACCCACCTCGCCCTCCCAAAGTGCTGGGATTACAGGCATAAGCCACCATGCCTGGCCCCTAGGTCAATTTTTTAATAGAACTAGACGGTGCTATTTCCTCTCGGTCTGATTT